TCGACCGAAAACTTGTGTCAAATTGTGGATAATCTTCCGCCCGTTACAAATTTGAAATCGCGGTCAGGATATTTGTTCCAAGAATCACGAAAAGTGAAATCAAAATTTCTCAAAAAAATTGTTAATATTGGTTTAATCAAGGGAAAATTAGTGTCAAATTGTAGATAATCTTTCGCCAACTACAAATCCGAAATCGCCTTCACGACATCTATGAAATAAACGTAAAACATGATTCCAAAATCTTTAAAAATTTTCAAAAAACGTCAAATTGTAGATAATTTTCCGCCAGTTACAAATTTGAAATCGGCGTCAGAATATTGGTTCCAATAAACACGATAAATTTTCGAAAATTTTCCAAAAAATGGTCAAAATTGGTTTAATCGACTCAAAATTGGTGCCAAAAAAATGTAGCACCAAAACATCGAAATATTCTATAATTAAAAACCGAGAATTTGAAAAAAAATCGAAGACTCCAAACATTGAAAAATCCAAAATTGCAGCATTGAAAAATTATAAAAGCCACATTGAATCGAAACATTGGAAAATCGAAAAATCAAAAAATAAATCGAAAAATTGCAAAATTGTAGAGCTGAATAACCGAAAAAAGAAATCCAAATTTTTGATGTGGTGATAGCCTCGGTGACTCTTCACACCTGGTGTTTTATTTCTGAAAAAGTTTCCAATTTTAATTCCTTTAATTTTCCACTTTTCAGGTTTGAAATTTTCACTTTTTCGTCTTCTCAATTTTTAGAATTTGCGATTTTTCGATTTTTAATTTTTCAATTTTTCAAAAAACGAACAAATTTAATCAAACTGAAATTTTGAAAAAATGTAACATGTAAAATTGAAAAATAAAGAAAAACAAAAAAAATTCCAAAAAATCACATGGCTGAGATTCCAAAGACCGAAAACTTGTAAAATTGAAAACTAAAAAAATTGTAAATCCGAAACATTGAAAAATCAAAAAATTGTGGCATTGAAAATCGAAAAATTGAAAAATTGTAAAATGCAAAATCAAAATCTAGAAACTGAAACATCAAAAATTAAAAAATCGAATAATTCGAATTGCAAAATTGTAGAATCGAAAAACCCAGAATCTGACAAATCAAAAAATTAAAATCTAAAAAATGTAAAATGAAAATACATACTGCAAATTGAAAAATCGAATAATTAAGAAATCGAAAAACTGCAAAATTGTAGCGCTTAATTATCGAAAAATAGAGAATTTGAAAAATCCAAAATTCGAAAAAACAGAAAATTGTACTCCAAACATTGCAAAATTGAAAAAAATAAAAATAGAAAATCGAAAAATTAAAAAATAGAAATTTGTAAAATTGAAAAATCGTTACACTGGAAAACTCCAACCATTGAAAAATCGAGAAATTGAAAAAGTAAAGATCGAAAAATTCTAAAATGAGAACTTAGAAAATCCAAAAACGACAAAACGCAAGGTAAGAAATCGAAAAATTGAAAAACCAAGAATTTTAAAAATCAAAAATTGAAAACTCCAAAATATGAACTGAACAAAAATCGAATAATTCAGAATTCGAAAAATGGTAAAGTTGTAGAGCTGAAGAATCGAAAAATTGGAGGAATTCAAACATCGAAATTTGAAAAATTAAAACTCGAAAATTGAAAAATCGTAAAATCAAAGGAATGAAATATCAAAAATCGAAAAATCGAAAAAATTGGAACCCCAGACATTGAACTCAAAATTTTCCAAAAAATTGTTAAAATTGGTTCAATGAAGCGAAAATTGGTCTCAAATTGTAGATAATCTTCCGTCCGTTACAAATCTGAAATCGCGGTCAGGATATTTGTTCGAATAATCAAGAAAAGTGACATCAAAATTTTCCAAAAAAAAATTGTTAAAATTGGTTTAGTCGAGGGAAAATTAGTGTTAAATTGAAAATAATTGAAATAAACGTAAAACATGATTCCAAAATCTTCAAAATTTTCAAAAAAAAAATGGTTCAAATTGATTCAATCGACCGAAAATTGGCGTCAAATTGCAGATAATTTACCTTCAACAGTTAACTTTAAAATTTAGTTTAATTTGTATAGAGTACCCATAGGATTTTTTTTTCCTCTACTCTGTAATTTCTCTGTTAAATAAATAAATTTTTTGCTTTCTTCAAAAAAAAAAAATTCCGCCAGTTACAAATTTGAAATCGGCGTTAGGATATTTGTTCCAATAAACACGATAAATTTTCGAAAATTTTCCAAAAAAAATGGTCAAAATTAGTTTAATCGACTGAAAATTGGTGCCAAAAAAAATGTAGCACCAAAACATCGAAATATTGTATAATTAAAAACCGAGATTTTGAAAAAAAAAATCGTAAAACCAAAATCTCCAAACTTTGAAAAATGGAAAAATTGTAGCATTGAAAAATTATAAAACCCACATTGAATTAAAAATCGAAAAATTGTAAAATTTAAAAATAGTAAGATCAAGAAATTGAAAAATTAGAGGAATTCAAACATGGAAATTTGAAAAATTAAAACTCTAAAATTGAAAAATTGGAAACTCCAAACACTGAAATCGAGAAATTGAAAAAACAAAGATCGAGTAATTAGAAAATTAAAAATCGAAAAATTGTAAAATGGAAGCTTTAAAAATCGAAAAATCAAGAGTTTGGAAAAAGAAAATACAAAAATTTGAACTGAAAGAACAAAAAAATCGAATAATTCAGAATTCCAAAAATCAAAAATTTAAAAATCTAAAAATTGTAAACTGAAAATATTGCAAATTGAAAAATTGAGTAATTAAGAAATCGAAAAAAATTGCTAAATTATAGAGCTGAAAAATCGAAAAAATGAGAATTTGAAGAACAAAAACAAAAAATTGTACTCTACATATTGCAAAATCGAAATATTACAAGAATTCTAACGCCGAAAATTTGAAAAATTAAAACTTGAAAATTCAGAAATTCAGTGTCGCAAATTGAAAAATTAAAAATAGGAAAATTGTAAAATCCAAAAATCGAGAAAGACCGAAAAATTGAAAAATCAAAATTTGAAGTGAAAATTTGAAAATTATAAATAGAGAAATTTCAAAACTGTAGAATCGAGAAGGAACATCGAATCGAAATCGAAAAAATGAAAACTAAATAATCGAAAAATTGTAAAACTACAAATAGAAAATTTGAAAAATCGCAAAGCTGGGAAATCGAAAAATTGTAAATTCGAAAAATCGATTAAAACACCAAAAATTAAAAAATCAAATAATTAAGAAGTCTCAAAATTGCAAAACTCTAGAACTGAAAAATCGAACAATTGAGAATTAGAAAAGCCAAAAATAGGAAAAATCAAAAAATTGGTAACTGTAAATATTGAAAAATTGAGAAATTCAAAAAATAAATTGAAATTGGAAAATCGCGCAGCAACGAAAAATTAAAAAAATTGTAAACCTGAACATTCGAATAATTGAGAAATTGAAAAATCGAAAAATCGAAAAATCGGGAATCTGAAAAGTAAATAAAAAATATTTTGACTTTTAATAATAATAATATTTATAAAAATGAAAAAATTGGAAACTCCAAAAATGAAAAATCGAAAAATTGTACAATGGAAACATTGAAAATCGAGAGAAATCGAAAAATTACAAAATTTCTCGGAATGAAAAACTGAAAAATGAAAAATTTGAAAAATTGAATAATCTAGAATTGAAATGAAAAATAGAACCGAGAATTTGAAAAATCAAAAATTGAAAAATCGAAATATGGCACCCGGTATATTGTTCTTGAAAGAATTCAAAAAATCTTGAAGTTTTATTCTTGGAAAAGTTAAGAATTTTGGGGATTCGAATGCATTTTTTTAGAAAACAAACGAATTCTTTTTTGTTTTATTTTTGACAGAATTTGAAAAAATTTTGGGGACGCCCAGTGTTTTTTTTTTCTGAGTATATGAAAGAACCTTCGAGTCCTCTTCTATGGCATTTTTATTTTACGCTCAAAAGCTTAAAGGACATTAAATTTTTTTAAATAGGTAAATATACAAAGGACGGTCTTGAAAAACATTGCAATATTTTTCAATTCAACGGACATTTTTTGTCATTACATAGTTGACCATGACGTTTACATTAACCGATAGGATTTCCAGATCACATTTTTTTGCACTAGTAAGTAAATATGTATTAAAAAATACTATATGTAGTAGTAAAATTATAATAATACCAAATTCACAGACAAAAGTGTAATCAAAGGAAGATTACCGGCCTGGACGCAAGTATAAGTAAAAATTAGTGAAGATTATTAGTCTTGCAAATTTTTAGACGCCTTTAACACTTGATAATAAATAATACGAGGAATAGAGTGTTCAGCTCAGATGCTGGTCCTCCCCACTCTTCTCCGTTCTTTCTGGTAGGCAGAGGGGGAAATCAAAGTGGAGCACACAGCCCTTAGATTTATTTGATTGGGCAAAACTTTTGCGGTGTCGTGGGTGAATAAATCGTGAAGTGTTTGTGTAATGGCTCCATATCCAACAAATAAAAATTAGAATATTAAAGCAGAACTAGTCACAGGAAGAAAAAAATCCCTTGCAAATAGCGACTTCATCAACTTTTTCCACTAGTAAACAAAATACTCGGAACAATGACTTGAGTCTCGTGCGAAAATGTAGCCAAAAGGAGCTAAAAATGGCGTGATCTGTCATATTTACACACACACAAAAATGACACAATTTCTTCAACTAACAAACTTTCCAATAAAAAAAAACGTCGGACGCAAGTTCGCTCGTCAAATATTAAAAAAAAAAACAAAACACAATGAATAAGAACTCAAGTAAAACGAAATTATCCCATTTATTTACATCTAATAATCCTGTTTAGATTACAAGTGCACTCAATCCTCCATTTCATCCTAATAGACTACACGTTCGCGCGAAAATATTTGTCCGAGTATTTGATCACCTGAAAGAAAATCGATGAAAAATGCAAAACTCTCGAACCAACGCTACGAAAAAACCCGGCTTCCGACATGCAAGCAACGAACGCCACTGACCTTCCTCCCGAGACAGGGTCGACTCATCGGGAGAGGACGCTGTCGTGCCGGCCTGGTCGAACACTATCTGGGTGGTTCTGGTCTCTCTGAGTCTGATGAAGTAATCCGCTGCATAGTTGACGACGTCGCCGGGCTGCTCCAGAAGGTAGCTTATGGTGAACTCGAGAAGGACCTCGCGAAGATCATCTGGGACTTGGATGCGTCCTTGGCTCCGACTCATATCTTACGAACGGTAAAGCGCTACGATGTGTTTATCTGTCAAAGAAAAAAAACGTTTAAGTACTCGAGTCGAATGGAGCGGCGGCGGCGTTACCAGGCTGGGCTTGCTGGGAGTCAGGACGTGGCTGAAGGAACCAACATGAAAGGGGGATGCGACTATGGCTGGTAGGGATAAGAACACGGAAAATTTTTCGTGGTTTGGGCCAGGAGAGGTAATTTATGGACGGGAAACAAAATGTCACTGGGTCGGCTTGTCATGAGACGACAGTTGTGACGTTTGGGGTTTTTGGGGGTGGAATGGGGAGAAAATCGAACAGAAACGGGTGGAGCGAGTTGTTTTAGTGTACGATTCGTGGTATGGGGGCTCATGTTTTGTGGTACCAGTGAAATGGTACCGAACAAGTAGGGAAGGTGGTGCCTTTGGGATTAGCGTAGAGGATTAGGAGTGTTTACTCGACAAAATAACAAATTTTGATTATGATTCTTAAATGATATCAGAACTAAGAATAAGAAGTCTAGAAAGAGGTTGTTGTATTATTTGACAAATGTTTTAAAGAGTGCATTACATAGTTGGTGTTTTTTTCATTCATACAAATTCAATACAACCACTATCAAATAAATCGAATAAGAAAAAAAAAGTAAGGAAAACATATCTTCGCAAGTGTTATTTTGAATCGAATTTAATTTAGTATATGTATTTTTATTATACATATTGTGTGGTCTGAGTATTTTTTTTTACTGGCACTGATTTTTGAGTTTTTAGTTTTGATTTTTCAACTAATCCATTTTTTTTATTTGCCTGTTTTCGAGTTTCCAATTTTAATTCCTTTAATTTTTCCACTTTTCAGCTTTCGAATTTTTCACTTTTTCATTTTCGCAATTTTAAGAATTTGCGATTTTTCGATTTTTAATTTCTCATGTCGTCAATTTCTAATTTTTGAATTTTTCAAAAACACTAAACTCTAAACAATGCAAAATTGAAAAATTATAGGAATTCAAACATCCAAAATTTGAAAATTAAAACTCGAAAATTGAAAAATTAAAAATCGTAAAATTGAAAAATCAAAAAAATGAAACACTAGAAATTGAAAAATCGAAAAAACTGGAAATTCCAAACATTGAAAAATCGAGAAAATGAAAAGGTAACGAGTGAGTAATTGAAAAATTAAAAATCGAAAAAGTGTATAATGGGAACTTTGAAAATAAAAAAATTGAAAAAAAAGCTGAGAAATCGAAAAATTGTAAAATGAGAACTTAGAAGATCGAAAAATTGCAAATTGAAAAATTTGGAAATTGAAAAATAAAAAATTGAAAACTCCAAAATTTGAACTGAAAAAAAATCTAATAATTCAGAATTTGAAAAATTGCAAAATTGTAGAATCGGAAAACCCAAAATCTGATAAATCAAAAATTTAAAAATCTAAAAATTGTAAACTCCAAACATTGAAAAATCTAGAGATTGCAAAATTAAAAGTCGAAAAATTGCAAAATTGTAGAGACGAAGAATCGAAAAACTGGCGAATTTGAAAAAGCTAAAAAATCCAAAATTTGAAAAAACAAAAAATCGTACTCTAAACATTGAAAAATCGAGAAATTGAAAAAGTAAAGATCGAATAACTGAAAAATTAAAAATCGAAAAGTTGTTAAATGGAAACTTAGAAAATCGAAAAATCAAGAATTTGAAAAATCAAAAATTGAAACTCCAAATATTGAACTAAAAATTCAAAAAATCTAATAACTCAGAATTCAAAAAAATGCAAAATTGTAGAATCTGAAAAATCAAAAATTTATAAATCTACAAATTGTAAACTCTAAACATTGAAGAATCTAGAAAATGCAAAATTAAAAGTCGAAAAATTGTAAAACGAAAATCTTGTAAATTGGAAAATTGAATAATTAAAAATCAAAAAATTGGAAACTCTAAACATTGAAAAATCGAGAAATTGAAAAAACAAAGACTGAGTAATTAAAAAATTAAAAATCGAAATGTAAAAAAGAAACTTTGAAAATCGAAAAAAAACGCAAGTTGAGAAATCAAAAAATTGCAAAATTTGTAGAAATGAAAATAGAAAAATCGAGAGTCTGGAAAATGAAAATTCCAAAATTTGAACTGAAAAAACAAAAAATTGAATAATTCAAAATTCGAAAAATAGCAAAATTGTAGAATCGAAAAACCCAGAATCTGAAAAATTAAAAATTTAAAAATCAAAAAATTGTAAAATGAAAATATTGTAAATTGGAAAAGCGGATAATAAGAGATCGAAAAATTGCAAAATTGTAGAACCGAAGAATCGAAAAATTGGAGAATTTGAAAAATAAAAAACTAAAAAATCCAAAATTTGAAAAAACCAAAAAATCGTACTCTAAACATTGCAAAATCGAAAAATTGGAAGAATTCAAACATCGAAAACTTGAAAAATTAAAATTCGAAAATTGAAAAATTAAAAGTAGGAAATTGAAAAATTAAAAATCGGAATTTGGAACCCCAAACATTAAAAAATCGAGAAATTGAAAAAGTAAAAATCGAATAACTGAAAAATTAAAAATCGAAAAATTGTAAAATGGAAACTTAGAAAATCGCAAAAATTGGGAAAAAAGCTGAGATCGAAAAATTGTAAAACGAAAACTTAGAAAATTGAAAAATCAAGAATTTGAAAAATCAAAAATTGGAAACTCCAAAATTTGAACTAAAAAATCAAAAAAATCTAATAACTCAGAATTCAAAAAAATGCAAAATATAGAATCTGAAAAATCAAAAATTTTAAAATCTACAAATTGTAAACTCTGAACAATGAAGAATCTAGAAATTGCAAAATTAAAAGTCGAAATATGGTAAAACGAAAATATTGCAAATTGGAAAATCCAGTAATTAAGAAATTGAAAATTTGCATTCAAAGCTGAAGAATCGAAAAACCGAGAATGTGAAAAATCAAAAACTGAAAAATCCAAAATTTGCAAAATCGAAAAATTGTACTCTAAACATTGCAATATTGAAAAATTGGGGGGAATTCAAACATCGAAATTTGAAAAATTAACACTGGAAAACTGAAAAATTTAAAAAGTGCAAATTGTAAAATTACAAATAGTAAATTTGAAAAATTGAAAAATCGCAAATCAAAAAATCAAGAAAATGAAAAAAAAAATTGAAAAATAAAAAATTGGAAACTTCAAACATTGAAAAATCGAGAAATTGAAAAAACAACCAGATCGATTAATTAAAAAATTAAAAATCGAAAAATTGAAAAGACGCAAGTTGAGAAATCGAAAAATTGCAAATTTGTAGAAATGAAAATAGAAAAATCGCGAGTCTAAAAAATGGAAGTTCCAAAATTTGAACTGAAAAAACAAAAAAATCGAATAATCCAGAATTCGATAAATTGCAAAATTACAGGAGTCGAAAAATCCAGAATCTGAAAAATCAAAAATTTAAAAATCTAAAAATTGTAAAATGAAAATATGGCAAATTGAAAAATCAAGAATTTGAAAAATCGAAAACTGAAATATCCAAAGCCTAAAAAAATAAAAAATTGTAGTCTAAACATTGCAAAATCGAAAAATTGTAAGAATTCTAATATCGAAAATATGAAAAATTAAAGCTTGAAAATTGAAAAATTAAAAATCGGAAATTGAAAAATTAAAAATCGGAAAATTGTACAATTACAGACAGCAAATTTGAAAAATTGAAAATGGTAAAAACGAAAAATCCAAAAAATGAAACACCAGAAATTGAAAAACTGAAAAAGTAAAGATTGAGTAATTGAAACATTAAAAAACGAAAAACTGTAAAATGGAAACTTTGAAAATCAAAAAATTGAAAAAAAAGCTGAGAAATCCAAAATTTGAAGAAACAAAAAATTGTACTCTAAACACTGCAAAATCGAAAAATTGAATGAATTGAAACATCGAAAACTTGAAAAATTAAAATTCGAAAATTGAAAAATTAAAAAGCAAAAATTGAAAAATCGTAAAATCAAGGAAAAGTTGAAAGATGGAAACTTAGAAAATCGAAACATTGAAAAAAAAGCTGAGAAATTGAAAAATTGTAAAATGAAAACACAGAAAATTGAAAAATTGAGAAAAAAAGCTGAGATCGAAAAACTGTAAAGTGAAAACTTAGAAAATCGAAAAACGTAAGCTGAGAAATTTAAAAATTGAAAATTCCAAAATTTGAAAGGAAAAATAAAAAAAATCGAATTCAGGATTCGAAAAAAATGCAAAATTATAGATAAAAAAACCCAGAATTGAAAAATCAAAAATTTAAAAATCTATAAATTGTACATTGAAGAATCTAGAAATTATAAAATAAAAGTCTAAAAATTGTAAAATGAAAAACTGAAAAATCCAAAACTTGCAAAATCAAAAATTGCACTCTAATAAACATTGCAATATTAAAAAATTGGAGAAATTCAGACATTAAAATTTGAAAAATTAAAATTCGAAAATTGTAAAATTAAATATCGGAAAATTGTAAAATTACAAACAGCAAGTTTGAAAAATTGAAAAATCGTAAAATCGAAAAATCAAGAAAAATGAAACACCAAAAACTGAAAAAATTGGAAACTCCAAACACTGAAAAATCGAGAATTGAAAAAGCAAACATCGAGTTATAAAAAAATTAAAAATCGAAAAATTGTAAAATGGAAACTTTGAAAATCGAAAATTTGAAAAATCAAAAACTGTAAATTTCTAAATTTGAACAGAAAAAACAAAAATCGAATAATTCAGAATTCGAAAAAAAGCAAAATTTAAATTATAGAATCTGAAAAATCAAAAATTTAAAAATATAAAAATTATTGTAAACTCTAAACATTGAAGAATCTAGAAATTGCAAAATTAAAAGTCGAAAAATTACAAAATGAAAATATTGCAAATAGAAAAATCGAATAATTAAGAAATCGAAAAATTGCTGAATTGTAGAGCTGAAGAATCGAAAAGTTGAGAATTTGAAAAATTGAAAACTGAAATATCCAAAATCTGAAAAAACAAAAAACTGTGCTCTAAACATTGCAAAATCGAAAAATCTAAGAATTCTAACA